GAGAGTCAGGATTTACAAGTCTGTGTTTCACCAGTTTTTGTGGTGTAAGTTCCCAGTATTTTTGATCAATCTACATAGAATCGAGGGCAGTATTTTATCTAGAAATAAAAGTATTTTATCTAGAAATAAAAGTATTTTATCTAGAAATAAAAGTAATTATAGGTTGGCCAAGTTTTCAGCAGTATTTTTCCTCTTAAAATTCAAAATGCTTTACAACGAAGCTGTGAACTCACAAAACATCCACAATTTATTACCTATTTCACACATATTAAAACTTCTTTCTCTTCCTCCACAGAGTAAATAAACACACAAACAAAACCACTGGAACAGCCCAAAATTTGTTTTGATCAGGAAGAATATTGGGCTTATCAAACCCTGGAATTTGGGCTCATTCATGGCTGAACTGGAACTTTAACAGTTTGCTTACGTAATAAATATAAATACAATATTACTGCAAAGTGCATATTTGAACTAATTTGAACTGATAAACTATTTCTTGGAGTTTTACAAAATTATCACAGAATTTTTCAGGTTGGAAAAGAACTTTAAGATGTCAAGTCCAACATCAACCCAGCATCACCACTAAACCACGTCCTTAAATGTCACATCCACACATTTTTGGAACCTTTTCAGGTTCAGTGACTCCACCACTGCCCCAGCCAATCTGTTCCAGGGCTGGACAATTTTAAAAATTTTTCCTAAACCAACCAAAATCTCCCACCTAAAGCTCCCCAGGCACAATTTGAGGCTGTTTCCTCTTGTCCTGCCAATGGTGACATTGGGACATCACCCATGGTACCATGGAAGGTCAGACACAGGAAAAAAACTGCTCCATTTCAGCTGGAGAATTTATCCAAGGATACTCAACTTCCTGAACCCACCAGCATGAAAAATACCCATCAACACCTGCAGACAGATTACAAGTGATAGACAAAAAGCTGGGAAAAATTWGGGATAACATTTCTATAGAGCAGAGAAACTTCTTCCACGCTGCAGAAATCTGCATTTCCAATTGCACCAGCTGATCCCGATGAAAATATTTCGCTCAGAAGTTTGTTCCTCCCAGAATTTAGAGGATTTTTTACCTTTTCCCCATCAATTCCCTCTCACATTGTATTTTTTTGCTATTTCCTGCAGCTCCTTCAGCCACAGTCACCAAAGTGAACTGGTACAGGATGGTGATTCTCGGGCAAGGATTTGCAAAAAAAAAAAAAATCTCCATTTCTTCTGGCAAAACCCATCCCTCTGCAGAAATGGGTGAAAGGGAACTCAGAGAGCTCCCAGCATCTGAGCTGCTCTGTCCCATGACAAAAAAACAAGGAAGACACAGGGAAGGACAAGGAGGGAAAGGAAAACTCTGACACAGCAGCGACTCCAGAATTCAGAGAAAGAAAGAGCAGCCACCCTGTCTGAGCCTCAAATGTCAGCAGTCATGGGATATGCACAACTAAAAACTCCCTGCTTCCATCCTAATTTTACTTGATTTTAAAACAGTAAACTTTAAAATAATTTAACGTCATTTTTAAAACAGTAATTGCAAGAATGTGAACAGGGCACAGATGACACTTCACAGAGCTTCAGGGTTTTTAACCATCGATTCTGATCCCCCTAATTGTGATCACAGCTTCAATCATTCAAAATMATTTCAGCCATGCAATGCTGGAATACTGCCAGCAAAGGACAATGCTCTGGAGAAAATAATGTCATTATTAGTCTGTTAGTACACCATGACAACAACAGGCTTGAGCCTAAATGAAAGGAAAATTATTGCTGCTGCAGTCCCAAAGAGAGAAGAAGTCAATGCACAGAGCACCTACTTCCAAAAAATACTGCTCAGTCTYGAAGATGGGTGAGAATCCAGCATTTTCACAA